CATATTAAGGAGTAAATTTATATACTCCACTGAAGGTGACAGGTGCTCTTCATATTTCTTAAGCTTAGAAAAACAGAGACAGAACAGCAATATTATAAAAGAATTAGAGGATAGGGAAGGTAATATTGTAAATAATACACAGGAAATTTTATATGAATGCTCTAATTTTTATTCTAATCTTTATTCCAAAAAAAAGGAGGATGATTTTTATTACATTAATGAAGTGTGCAATCATCTAAATACTTCAATATCTGACATGGACAAAGATTTTTTAGACTCCCCTATTTTAATTCAAGAAGTTTTTAATGCTTTAAACTCTATGTCTAGAGGAAAAAGCCCAGGGCTCGATGGTTTGACAACTGAGTTTTTTACTCATTTTAGTGATATTTTAATGCCTTTTTATTTACATGTTTTGAATTCTATTTTTGATAATAACCTTTTATCTAGATCTATGAGAAGAGGTGTCATTGTTTTAGTTTTTAAAGAAAAAGGTGATAAAAAACTTTTAAAAAATTTTAGACCAATATCCCTTTTAAATGCTGATGTTAAACTTTTATCTAAGATTTTAGCCAACAGGCTTAAGAATGTCCTTCAACAAATTATCTCCCCTGAGCAGTCTTGCGCTGTTCCTGGGCGAAGCATTTTGGAAAATGTTGCAAGTATCCGTGATGTCATTGACTATGTCGAACAAGAAAAAGAGGATATGTGGCTCTGCCAAATAGACGCCGAAAAAGCGTTTGACAGAATCTCTTTCGAATACTTGCAACATGTTCTAAAATGCTTCGGTTTTGGTCCAACCTTCAGGAAATGGATAAAGATTCTATACACAGACATTAAGAGCACGGTTAAAGTAAACGGGCATCTGTCACCTTACTTCCCTATTTTAAGGTCAGTGCGCCAGGGTTGCCCATTGTCTGCATTGCTGTATGTATTATGTGCTGAGCCTCTTAACCAAATTATAAAGCATTCACCTGCAAAAGGCATTAGAATTAAAAACAGTGAGGCTCAGTCCCTAATATATCAGCATGCAGATGATACAACCCTGACACTTGCTGACCTGAACTCTGTAAATACTGTTTTTAGTTGTATAGATACTTACTGTAAGGCTTCAGGTGCCAAAATAAACATCCAGAAGTCAACAATTATGCCATTTGGCTCTGCTATTCACAAAACAATTAACATAGATTTACCTCTCAAAGTAGCATTTGACATAATTTTGATTCTGGGTGTTTATTTTGGACACAATATAAAGGAATGTATAAAGAATAATTGGGAACATAAGATTAATAAAGTGCAAATAATATTAAACTTGTGGCATAAGAGAAATTTAACCTTATTAGGCAAAGTCACTGTCATTAATACATTGCTAATGTCTAAATTTTATTATACAATGTCTATTATCCCCATGCCTGACCATATTCAACAACAACTAAAGAAGTTAATTTTAAAGTTTTTATGGAGTGGCAAACCTCCCTTAATAAAATATGACGTCATGACATCAGACAAATCCTGTGGAGGCATGGGGTTAGTAGACATTAAATTAAAGGGACAATCTCTGCTTTTAAAATGGCTTAAACCCTATTTTAACCCTGATAATCTTAATATATG